TGCTAAAATTATAAGTCGTGGCTACATAATGAATGAATAATCATGAAGATATTTTATCCATATATTTTAATTATCATGAAGTAGAGTTACTGCATGAAACCTATAAACAAAAATCAAATGACAAATGAATATTTCTAAAAATGGAATCGTTCACGTATCGCAATCGTTTGCTCCAACAGTTGAACATAGGAACTAGGGGCAAAGATAATATTGTAAATAAACGAAATAACAACAATTTCATTCAAGTGAATCATCTTAATTCAAGCAGTAATAGGGCATTGAATCCCTGAACTATGACTTAGTGATCAGTGAATATTGCTATGATTACATTCATTGTTTTCATGTGCTTCTTAGCAGAGCAATCGCAATGAATTTATGTATAATGAAAACATGATAATTAAAGAATGCTAACCATAATATTGTCCATCTTTTCATGTCTATTAAATCAGAGAGTCAAAGTTGAACCTATGAGCAATGATTACGTATTAAATGAATATTAGGAACGAAGTATGCATTCATGTATTTCATAGGCTTCTAAACAAAATTATCGTGTTAAACTTTCGAGTTGGGACTCCATTGCAAATAAATAGTGTCAAAGAAATTTTCATTTATGTCATATGTTGTTAAATGAACGATCAATATCGAAACTATAAGCAAGGATCAAGTGATGCATGAATATTGTCTACCAAACTTGTATTCCTTTATTTTACCATTTTCTAAGTCTATGAACAAGGTTGGACATATGTCTTAGCGACTGCAATGAGATGGAATATTTTCAATCAAGTTCATATTGATTTCTCTCATCACCTGTTAAGGATAATACTAATCTTGCATTTATGAGCAGTTACTACATCAAAAATGAATGTACCCGCAATATTTGTATTCGAGTCAACAATATCTATGGGATTGATGCATGACATTAATATTGTTAGGCATATATATGGTAAAGGAATATTACCAACCAAGATTGCATTCAAGTCTTTTATCAATCTTCAAGCAGAAAAAACATCATTAAATCTACCAACAAGCATCACATAAAAAGTGATTATAGTCACAAGTATACCATTCAAATGAGTAATGTTGTTCCGAGTAAATATAGGTTATCGGCATGATTATGGATGAAAGCATGAAAAGAGAATATCATCAAACAAGAATACATTCATCTCTTTCACTTACCTCATAATAGAGAGTGAACGATGAGCCTATGAGTAATCCTTTTGTCAAAAGCGAATAGATCAGCAGTAAGAATACCTTTTTTCGATAAGATCATCTTGTTCACAGTAGGTATATAATGTTGGAACTGTGAAGAAAGATCCAATGATAAATGAATAATGTTAAGGAAGACTACATTCAACTGCCTTGAATTTCTAAGTTGATCAATATAAATAAATATGTGAGTAATTATGACATGATGATTGAATATATCCAACAAATATTGCATACATGCCTTTTATTGACTTCTTACGAGAGAAAACTCATCAAATCTATGATCAAGGATTGCATAGGTAATGAATATTAGGAATCAACATTGTATTCATTTATGTGATTCTCTCCATCTTCTAAATCATTCTTCAGTAAAATGTCGGATCATAATGAAAATGAACGATAAGTACGTTTTCCCATCAGTTGGTCAACAAGTTGACGAAGAAACATATTTCGTTCTTGGAATTCATTGTCGGCATCATCATCCAAATAGTTTCTGGCTGATCGAGCAGCGCAAAACATGATCATCATAGTAAGAAATATAACGGCAACCTTCAGTGTTTGCATTGAAAATGTATTCACTTGTATTTGGTTGATGTTGATATGGAAGTCGTTCTCGAGTCGATATGTTTGATGAAATGCTTCAGTCTACGTCTGCTTATATCTTTCTGTGAGGGAGAACATACAATCACCCATTCAAAATCAATCATCCATATCGGTAGACTATTCGTAGATATATTGAATAGTAAACTAGCTTTGCTTTTACAGTTTGCGAGGAGATACTATCATTACTCATATCTAATGAGAGAAAAAAAACGAAAAGTAACGTTGTGTTAATAGTGTTTTTAACAAATTGAAATATCTATCTAGCCTTGTGCATGTCTTACTCATCACTATCTATAAATGTTACTGATATTATCTATTTTTCAGTTATGTTATTTACTCTTCACAGGTATGATTAGAAGAAAAAAATCAATGAAATGATTGAAAAAAATGACCCTGAATCAATTGCACAATCAACATTTTCATGCTTTCACCACTTCTAGAGGCTTGATCAAGATATTCCCTCATTGAAACGTTTAGACCTATGTTTCATGGAATTCTAACGACTGAACTGTCACTGTTTGAATCTTTTACATCTTTTTCTAGTCAAAAAATCCGCAGAAGCTGGATAATGATGTCCCTATCTTGTCATTTGCGAACGCCAAAGCGAAATTCAAGAAGGGGGTGGGTGTGAGTAGTGGGCTTGTGAGAGAGTGTGGGTAGTATGCTTATGTGTATGGATGCATGTGTGGTGGGGGAGGAGTGTGAAATGAGGAGATGATGTGATTGAGTGTCGGTGTGGGTTGGCGTGTGCAGTATGCTTGTGAATGTGTGTGTGTCTGTGTTGGGTTTGATTGATTAATAAAACAGCACCCACACTTGCCTCACATATGCTGCTTTATGATTAGAAACAAGTAAAAAAAGTATAAAAAAGAGAATATATTTTCTGATCTATGATTTTTACTGAGTAAAATATTAGTACAGAAAAAACCAGCACTCAATAAGTGAGATGTAAATCATGAAAATATTATATACAATGATCGAAATAACTTGGAAATAGCTTTATGATGTTGAGTATTTCTTGAACAAGTAAATCCGAGTTTACAAACAAATCCTTTTATAATACTTTTACATAATAGTCACTGCACGAGAACTACTACAATTTGAAGTGATTGATTTCAACATTAAGGAGTATAGAACATAAATATTTTTATACGAATTTTCAACTTGTAAAGATGAAATTCTCTTGGTTAGCTAACGAGATCTTTTCTAAAGTAAAATTAGTGAAAATATTGTTTAAGAGAGGGCCCTCCAGATCACCGACCAAGCCGGCCGCCGCTAAAATTTTATTTTTGATTCTTTTTAGCGCAAACGAAAGACTATATAGAGAAACCTATAAATCCAAAATATCACGTTTTTCTGACGTACTTGTGAAAAATGCCGAAGATCACAATGGTCAATTTTTTATGTTTGGATCATAAAAATTTTAACAAATGTTTTTTTTTCACATTTTGATGGTATTTTGATATTTTCTCTGCCTTTGTTCATCACTGTAAGTCGAGAGAGGTCTCAAAAGATGCAGAAAAAAACTTTCTACCAAATGACCTATTTCAATAGTCATTAGAATGGATTTTTATAATTGATTGCGCTTCCAAAAGAGAGGAGGGGTCTATGGTCTATAGTCGTCGTTTAGCTAGTAATTTGCCTCTAGCCTCGTCGAACGGTTCCATCCCAAAAAATTGAATCCAGTTTATGAAAGCCCTTGAAATTCTGCATCCTTAGGTATATTACTCAATGTGCAAACAGACGGCCCTCGATTTTTAGTAGGGACTACAATTGGTGCCCTATGATGGTCCTTAATAGCCATTTTGGTCGGTAATCAGACATGATATAAGCTATGTTTGTTCACAGTAAAAAAATTGATTTCAGGTTCATAATCTACATAAAAATTATTTAGATCACACTACATTTGATAGTTCTCTAAACATACTGTATGTGATTTCCACGCTCCAATATCTTGTTTTTATATGAGATTCGATACTATGTTCTATACGTGAATTGCATGAGCTATATTGAATAAGCATTTTATAAATCTAATCATATAGATTCGTACAGATTTTAAAAGGCTACATGATGCATTATCTCTTTGTTTAATTTTGTTCCATTGAAGTACCAGAAAATGCTGTTTTCATTCAGAGTTATTATCAAAGAAATGCATGAGCAAAATCAATTATGTATATTTCTCACAGAAACGTTTGATAAATTGTCAACTTATATAAAAAAATGTAATTATTATTTCTTATTCTCATAATGTTTCGAAAGCTGCAAACAGTTTGATCAGTTATCTAGAAAAATCTCCCAAAATGATTTCCAGAAATGAAAAGATTACTTGAAGAAAAAATGGAAATCGTTTCTTATTAATGATTATTGTTTTATATCAAACAATTTTTTCATATTCAGAAAGATTGTAATTCTCATACGAATGTCAGCGATAGAAGAGAAACTGACGAGAAAACATATTTAGATCTTCAAGCATTTTAGAGCGCATCTGTTGGCTATAAGTGGATCTCGATGAGGTATGAAAAGCCTAAAAAGGATTCATTCGCTCGCGCCTTTATTCGTGAGATATCGAATGTTCAATATATATATAAAAACAGGCAATGAAACGATAAATGATCGTTTCCTGAAAAATAGTAAACTATTAAAGGATGGCATTTTTTTCAGTTTCGTATACTGCTCATCCGATCTGTTCTGAGTTAAAAGTTACATTACATCCTATCAATAACACTTCCATTTGTTGTTCATCAGTTTAAGGAGTACTCAAACCTTTTCATTCTATTGCTGATATCATTTCAAACCAGAGACCGAAAACGAGTCGAGTACTCGGCAAATCGACTCGACTCGACTAGGATGTGGGTGTGGGTGTAGGTGTGGATGTGGTGGTGCGTGTGGTTTCACCAAAGACCCAAATCCACACCCCACACCCACACGCACCACCACATCCACACCCACACTCACACACCACCCATCCCCACCCACACCCACACCCACACCCCACACCTCACACCCACACCCGCCCATACCCACACCCACCCATACCCACACCCACACCCACACCCCACACCCACACACACTCACACACCCCACACCCACACCACCCACCCACATCCACACCCACATCCTTTATATCTTATAATTTATGGTAAGAAAACATTTATTGATGGAAATGATTTGAAAAAAATATTATCAGTCATATGTCGCAATTAAATAAATTTACATTTAATATTCGGTCTACTGTTCATCTTCATAATGAAATTAATTTACTGTCGAAGGAAGATATTCAATATACATTCAATAACTTTCAAAATAAACAAATTATTTGTTGTCTTGATTATTTTTCCGAGCTTGAACGAAGTGAATGTCATATTTATTCATATCCATATGAATGGAAAGAATATCATAAAATAACAAATAATTTTTCTGGTGAAACATTTAAATATGTTCGTGAAATATCATTATTTGATGAACGACCTTTTGAACATGAATTTTTTTTTAAAATTTCTCAATCATTTCCATTCATGAAAAAATTAACTTTAATTAATGAAAAATCACAAAATAATAAACAATCTAGAAAATTAGATGATGATAATAATCAACATTTATCAATCATTGAATATCCATATCTTTCTGAATTGGATCTTGTTGAAGCTCATGATGCTTATATCGAACAATTTCTTGTTGATACGAAAACCTGTTTATCAAATGGTATTTGTCTTACTGTTGATTATCAAGCATTGTACAGAGTAACACAACAATTTACAAGAAATACAACACAATTAAATTGTATAAAAATACGTTGTTTAGGTCTAAATGATATATGTCAAATTCCTAAATATGTAAAAGAATATTTTCCTCATACAAAAATATTGTGATTGTTATCAATGATTATTTAAATAAAATATTTTTAAAGAAGACTAATAATCTATGTAGTATTAAAACATTGAAATGAAAAGAATATCAAAGCAAATATTGTTTGAAGAAATAAAAATATAAAGATATAGAATAAATAGAATAATGAATGTCTAAAGTAAGAAAAATAAAAGTTGATCGAACATAATCATTGAATAATATATGAATGAGAGAAAATAACTTATTTTATGGAATAATAACTATCGGAAAAGAACATTATCATTTCAGTTGATGAAAGTCTTACTATATTCTGGTTCCCCCCTGTTGGTGATAATGTGAGCTACTATCTTGTCACGTACTGTTCTGAATGTGACTTTTTTAAAATTTTATCTTCTTCTCTTTTATTTGTCAACCCACATATTAAATGTTACAAATATTTATGTTGAAAAAAATGTTACTATTTTGTTATGTATTGGATGTTGTTTTTACTATTGTTCATTTTAAAGTTCTCGTAAAGCACTATTTTATTTCGATCTAATATTTTGATTTAAATCATTTAATGTATGATACCGAACATCAATTCCTATAAAAAAAAAGAACATGTACCAATGAGTAAGAAAGATAAGAAATTTTTAACTTACTGCTGTTCATTAATAAAATTTTTGTATTGTATAGCAAACGTTTTATATTGTCCGTTTTCGTTAAACTATATATAAAAAAAATTAAAGAATAAATCCAAACTGAATATGTTTACCTGTAAACGGATTTTGAACATATCTTCTTCAAAATAATGTACTATTTCATGGCTAATGTTTTCTTTCAAATAGTTTATTGTTACCGAGGGTGTGGGTGTGGGTGTGGGTGTGGGTGTGGGCGCGAGTTTGAGTTTGTTTCTATCCAAAGTCATACCCACACCCCCTTGTTTACATTAGTGCAAATAGTTCAATCAGAAGAGATTAGGACGCATTACCCCGTGATTTGAAAAATCAAAAAGATTTTATGACTTTCGTGACTTTTATGTCAAAAACAATGTCAGCTCTATTGATAAAATAGATATATTTTTTTTTTGTTTTATCAAGCTCATTGATTAAAATTATCATTTCAATCAAAAACAGGGCCATGTGTCCTAGATTTTTAAAGTGCAGTATCGATCAGTCTATCCTCAAGATAGCGTGTTTTCTTCAATCGTACTTACTCGTTTTAGCTACAAGTTTCAAGCATTGAACATTTTATGATCGTATACGGAGCAGATAAAGTTAAATTTTAATCAGGCCGTATTTTTTTTACGACATCCATACTTAGGATAATGATTCAGGCGAACTTTGAAGCAGGAATCTAGTAGCTGGTTACGGTTGTCTCCATCATGTTTCACATTTTAATCCGACATGGATTGTGATAAAAGCTTTTTCAAATAGATTTATTGAATGTTTTCAGTGATTTCTCATAAAGCAAGCGAGACTTTCTCGCTTAGATTTTGAAAAAAAAATTGATTTATGTTTGCTTTATTGGTACACTCTAAAGCTACGATAGGTCAAATTCTGATTATTTTCAAAGACATATCGACTGAAAAAACATGAACACAGTCAAAATGATTAATTAAATAAAATCGAATTTTTTGGCTGAAATTAATGATTCCTACCATATGTCTAATACAACAAATTATTATATTCTTAGCTTTTTAAATTTATTTCGAAACGTCTAAAGGCCTGGGACCTTCTATTGTACCCTCAGAAAAGTCATATGGTTTAGGCAGTATCAACAAACAGCTGTTAATTCCAATTTTTTTTTTTCTTAAAACCATAAATAATAAATGAATCTTTTTTTACTTATTTTTATACTTGCACAATAACAAAGAAAGAGTGTTTATAAAAATATACAGTTAAATACACACTAAAAGCTTGACACGATTTATAATAGAACAATATTTTTCAAAGAATAAGATAGATCACTTGCACCATTTATCGTTTCTTATTACTAATGGAAATGAGTGTGTGAGAATGTAAATAACATGACATGTTATGCCCACATTCACACCATCCAATCGTTAGAAAGAGTCTTCTACTACAGCGAGGTTCTCCAATATGTCGAGAACTTTATTCATTTACTTACTTTTCATCTCAGCTCTTATTTTTTCATTCGTTCCTTATCTTCCTCTCCTTGCTTCTCTTAATATATTGTATCAACTCAAACCAGAGTCAGTGCACACCTCAGTGTAACTTATAATAAACGTGTCTATCTAAAAAATATGTCATAGAATCTACCACAATATACGAAAGCATATACATGTATGTACGATAAAACTTCGAGGTTGCAGAAAAATATATATGTAAATAGTAATAAAATCTGTTCTCATAAATCAGATGCATGAATCAGATCCATCATAAGTAAAGCGATGGTGATAGTAGTCGATTGTCTGTTATTCGAAGACGACAAACACGATAGTAGATAATGAGACATTAGAATAATAATTCAAAAAAATATACGTAGCAATGTGAAATAGTATTAGAATAATACCTTAAAGCAGTCCTATGAAATTTAAAAAATTGTTCCAATCGAAGTATTTCCGCTGTCAATGAGTGAACATTAAAAAACATACCGGCAGAAGGCAATAATGTGCGGCTACACAAGTATCTTTCAAACGACACATATAGGTGTTACTGTATTCATTATCTTATGTCACTCTACCCAATGTTTCGTTAGAAGAAGATAAGTATATTTTGCCTTACAGATATCATGCATATTTTTGTGAAACTACTGTGCATTGTGATAATTTCGGTTCATGGTCAGTTTGGCAATTTTCCCGATTGTAAATCAGGACCACTTTCAACTTTTCCTATTTGTAATCAAGCACTTCCTACTCGACAACGAGCTGCTGACTTAGTTAGTCGTATGACAATAGATGAAAAAATTACGCAAATGATTACAACAGCTGCTGCTATACCTCGTCTCGGTCTACCCAAGTATGAATGGTGGTCAGAAGCTTTACATGGCTTAGCCTATTCACCTGGTGTTTCATTTGGTGGAGATCTACCAGCAGCTACTTCTTTTCCAATGCCGATCAATCTTGGAGCTTCATTTAATATGCGTCTTGTCTATCAGATAGCTAATATTATATCAACAGAAGCACGTGCATTCAATAACGAAGATCAAGCAGGTCTTAATTTCTTTACGCCAACTGTTAACATTTTTCGAGATCCACGATGGGGTCGTGGTCAGGAAACACCTGGTGAAGACCCATTTCTTACATCTGAATATGTCTATGCATTAGTTAAAGGTTTACAACATGGTGAAGATGAACGCTATTTGAAAATAGCAGCTAACTGTAAAGCATATAATGCATACGACTTAGAAAATTGGAATGGCACTGATCGTTTTCATTTTGACGCAAAAATAAGTGACCAAGATTTGGTCGAAACATTTTTACCACCATTCGAAACATGTATTCGTGATGCTCATGTTGCAAGTATCATGTGTAGTTACAATTCAATTAATGGTATACCGAGTTGTGCTAATCAATTTGAAATTGAAATACTTGCACGGTAAACTCTGCCAGTCGTTGCTTGTTTTTAAAGTTTACATGTTTTGTTCTTAGAGAATCATTTCATCTCGACGGTTTTGTAGTCAGTGATTGTGGAGCCATTGCAACCATTATGGAAACACATCATTATACGTCGACCGTACAAGACACAGTTGCTGTAGCTCTTCATGCCGGTACAGATCTCAGTTGCGGTGATTTCTATTTAAAACATACAAAAGAAGCACTTGATAACAAAACTATTATTGAGGAAGATATTGATCGTGCCCTTGAGCGTACATTCAATGTTCTAATTCGACTCGGCTGGTTTGATCCATCTGAACAACAGTTTTATCGACAGTTGACAAAAGCCGACGTCGATACATCTCAATCACGAAAATTATCATTAGAAAGTGCTCAAGAAAGCATTGTCTTATTGAAGAATGTTAATAAATCATTGCCCTTACATATTGATCAATTAGTAAACAAAAAAATTGCATTGATTGGACCAACGGCAAATGCAACAGTTTTAATGCAAGGAAGTTATTACGGTAAGGCTCCATTTCTTATTGATCCAGTTACAGCAATCAAAGCAATAACAACAGGTATTTTATTGAATAACAAAAAATTTCGTTTTATTGTACATTAGTTTAAGGTAAATTGATTGATGTTGAATTTGCGTACGGTTGTAAAATAAAGGATCCCGATCAGAGTGGTTTTTCGGCGGCTATTGAATTGGCCAAATTGGCCGATATTGTTATATTCTTTGGTGGACTAGATCAATCGATTGAAGGCGAAAGTTTTGATCGTACATCAATTACCTTACCTGATATACAATTTGCTCTCATACATCAACTTGAAAAAGTCGTTCGTTCACCTATTCATGTTATAATTATGTCTGGTAGTGGTTTAGATCTAACTTACATTCGTGATTCACCTCAATTTGGCAGTCTCATTTGGATGGGTTATGCCGGACAGTCAGGTGGTTTAGCAATAAGTAACGTTATTTTTGGTCAATATAATCCTGGTGGACGTTTACCAATTACTATGTATCCAGCATCCTATGTCGACGATGTAAGTATGTTCGATATGCAGATGAGACCATCAAGTACAAATCCTGGCCGAACCTATAAATTTTATACGGGCAAAGCAGTATATGAATTTGGAAGTGGTCTTTCCTATACAACATTTCTTTATTCATGGAATAATGATACTAATATTTCGTCATCGTATTCGATTTCGTCATTAATACAAAAAAACTATGATGAGCATCGAGTTCTCGTTCGACTGTTTCGTGTTAATGTGACCAATACTGGTGATATGTCAGGTGATGATGTTGTCTTAGCATTTGTTAGATCACATAATGCAATAATAAATGGAGAAATATCACCAATCAAACAAATTTTTGGCTTTGAACGTATCAATTTAGCTGTTAACCAAACCAAAGAAGTCTTTTTTCCATTAACTGTTCGTCATTTATTAACCATTGTACGACATGGTACCAAATGGCTTCATCCAGGTTCATACGACATTCTCATCGGACAACAACATATGCATACATTTAAATTATATGGACAATCGATTCAATGGGCATCAAAAATACATGCTTCTTCATCCAACGAAAACATTTGACGGTCTAGCATTTTTATTTTCTTTTAGTGATAAGGACATTTGTTGTATCAACATATATTAGACCTATCGATATTTCTAATGTTTACCATCGAGAACATGTTCTCTGAGAAGAGAACAAACAACAAACAGGATGAAATGAAGAGAAGAAAAAAACAACTATTACCATCTACGTCTCAATGATAATTGAAAACACCAATATGTTCTTCCTTGTGTGGAAATTTGGATGTCAGTGAAGATGATTTCACGCTGTTTTCAGTAAAGCATCATCAGAGTAGAAAAAAGTCTTTATTTTCATCAACAAATCTTATGCAAAAATTTCAAAACACTGCCAATATAGTAGGCTTTCTTGTAGAACAAGACAGCATCACAATGGTTCTGCTTTATTTACTGATTATTTTGTTTGTTTAATACATGTTGATTTCAAACAGAATCCGCAAATGCTTTAACAGCGTTGATGGTTTCTTCTCTGACTTTAAGATAAAAACCTATTGAAAAAAACAAAAAGCTACGTAAACAAAGCGAACACTTGTATTTCTCATCCGGAAATGTAAAAAATGAATGGATAGCACCTTTGAGAAGTAAAAGCTTGGTTTTTGATACTAGCTTCTTTCAGTTTTCGTTGATAAGCTGTAAACAGTAGAAAGAGAGATACTATAGTATTACTGTATGTACAACAAACGATACCAACACAATCATCTCGTAGCGGATCGAGTTCAACGATAATGAACAAGCAAGGTGGCACATTTTGAAATGATTTATTAAGAAGAACATCAGCATGAGGATCTTTCATATCAGCTTCATCTTTGAATACATTGTCTTTCATTCCGTAAAAGAAATTGTTCTGATATATTAGAAAATAATTAATATATATGTCAGCATCCAATTTTGGATGCTCTGAAGTGAATCAAATAATGAATTTATGTTAACACATAAGTTAGTCTTTCGATCAAAGTCTGATTTGGATAGTTATAGTTAAATAGAACACGAGATCTATGGAATCCGAAGACCTTCCAGTCTGGACCTCTATGAAGTCGAAGAATCTTGAAATCTATAACATCTAAAGAATTTAGCGAGCGATTCTTTCTAGAGATATAGGCATCTCTGAGGTCTACTATTTATGAGGTTCAAAATCTAAAGAGTTGAGAGTGTATTAGATCCATGTGCTCTACAGTAGCTAGGAGTCTGCTAGTCCTTGAAGTCTGATAAATCTAATCATTCTTTCCTTTATCTTTGATTTCGTGAAACACTCATTGTATGTGTTTGTTCCTCTAGTGATAAGGTTTTGATGGCAGATACGTTGTTTTAGGTTTATTTTAAAATGTTTTACATAAGTATGGAAAGAATACAGCAATCTACTAATCAGTTTGGCAAAACTCACGAGAAAAACAGAGTAATTCGTGTTTTAATGCCAATATATTCATATACTTATGATTTTAATAGCTCAGGTGTGATCATATATTCTGGTTGAGTAAATTCTTTGTGTGATAATAAATTACCATCGTAATCAAACACAGGATGAACAAGAATCTAATTAGTTTTATTTTGAATTTAGTCTAGCATGTACTACTCATGAAATTTTCATACCTGACAATCGATATTTTTCAATGAGTGACACAATGATGCTGATATTGTAGCATCAGCACTATCTCCTGCAACACCGATCTTTGTTGTTTCTATAGCATCTATAAATAAGGAGCATATGCATACACAGAAGAATGCAAAGTTTCAGGTCTCACCATAGTTCGTCTTGTTTTCAATAATATGTCGGATGACTTCACTTTTATCATAAAACCCAATAGGAAATTTATGTTCAGGTGCCAGATGATACTCCACCAAAATCCAAATATTTTTGTGGCGCTTAATAACGCGAATTTATCGCACTATATGCAGTACTGCTCACAATTATAAGTTTAAAATCGTATTTTGACTATTTTTCACAAGGATACAGCTAGCTTGATCTGAGGTTCATACTAGCAGAAAGAGCAACCAATTATGAAAGTTCGAAATAGTTTGATCTTCAGGCTTTAAAGATCGGTGTATGAATGAGAATGGCTTCCTAATACAAGATAATTTTTGCAACAAAATCAAAGAATTTCCAACTGTGGATAGCATTTAGTCACAAATAATAGGCTATCCCAAAGCTAGCCAACACTTTCCAGTTATGTCGGTGAGTCATCACTGGAAAAAAGGGGGTATCGTTTTGAGGTAGTTTATTCTATGGGACTATACTAATATCTAGAAATCGAAACTCTTGAACTTTGTAGGGAAAATCGTCTTGTATCCTGACAAAGATGTGTTTTTTGTAATAAAAATAATCCCATATTCTGATAGTACTTGAAATCCTCAATCATTCTGACAATTAGAAGAATTTGTTGAATAGACATGAAGTACCATACTGAAGGTTGTTATCCGTGAGTATATTGCCAATATTCGAAATATTTGCCAGAAAATTTTGACAAATTGGAATTGATGAAATTCATGGTAGCAAAGAATTTCAAGCTTTATCAAAACATATCATTAATTTATAAAAAAACTACTTCTCTATTTGTAATAATTTAAAAAAAAAATTAATAAAAGAACAAAAGAGTAAACTTCATAAAAATTTGATAATGGGATTACTTTTATAAAAAATTATCTTTCTAAAAACAAAGTATCTTTAAAAATTGGACTGAACCATTTTTTTCTAGATGTATATGTATTAGACACCACAGATATACTCAACTAACATGTTAACTATTGTCTGATGCGTTTTTCGACCACACACTACCCATCCTAGATTCAAAGTTCATTGAATATTCATATTGATTTTAAAGTAATATTCCCGTCACCATGAAAACATATGATTAGTTTATCGTTGTTCGTATTACCTAGTGTATAAGTTGTGATCGGAATTTGTGAATGTTTAGAAAGAGAACATCATGTTCACTAGAAGAAAAGTTTTGGGTTCAATCATCCTACCGGTCGATGATATTTTTTTACTTTCTTTTCTTCTTCTATACCTGTGAACGTTCCAATTAATTTTTCATTGTTTTTAGCATGTTCATCTTCAAATTGTACACACGATTCTTCGAGCGAATTTGGAGGTGATGAAACCTCGCATAAAACAAAATTCCAATACGCAAGAATCTCTTCATTCAAACGTAAATCCTTAGAGATGACAATATAAATAATCGGCCGTACATCTTTATCTGATGACAATCACTCACATCAAAGTTGCCAATGTCTAAATATACGACAATTGAATTGCTGCTAAAATAAGAAGAAAACCTTGTCAATGTGGCACATTATTATCAAAGGGTAAATTTTGAGCATTATTTTATTCCACTACTTAATGTTGTTTCAACCAATAACAGAACAGCATTTGTAAGAACCTCAAATATTTCTCTTAACTTTTACAGCGTATTGTAAGAGGTGTGTTGTGAAACACAATTAGAAATTAGTGTGGAAGAATATAGCAAGAAAAATGAGCTCCTCTTCTCTACCGCTCAGTTTCCCTTCACAGGTCGTAAATGACAAACGATACGATACTATTGTTGTTCGGATTCTAGCATTCGGAATTCTTTTTGACTAGGGAATTTGAAGTTTTCTTAACACATGATTTATGGAACTTTTTATGGTTAGTTTTGCAATCTACTTAAAACCCTGAAACTCAAAAACACTATTTTTCTACCTCATAATGCAGCATATTAAACCTGATATGTCGATTTGAAACAGCTTCATTGTGTTTCAATCTTAACTATTAGATAAGATAAGCGTATAGATCTCTACAAGACGGATATCTTTCTTTCTTACCTTCATACCATTCTGTAAGTTTCATGACGTGACGAGATCAATCAATTTCAGATTTAAAAAAAAAATGTCATTTAGCAGTGCTGCAGCTCTCAGTATATCACACATTCAATGCATGAAAAACACTATGATGAAAAAAAGTGATTCCAGCAACGAAAATTGTAGCATCGTCACACATTTTGTCAGGTTACTTTCAATGTACACTTCAAGCAAATAGTCGTTTGTGTTCCAGTTAAAAAAAGAAACTGAATGATTGTTTTCGAATATAGTCAGAATAAAAAAATTATCTTTCGTTCTACCTGTATCACAAATTATTTACCGGCGTCAAGCCCAATAACACATTTGATGATTCATTACTTTTTTATTCTTCTGTCAACATATGAGAGAACTATGGAAAAAGTTCGTATAAATGAAACAACGAATTGTTATATGAAAACCTTACACAACATAGATTTACATTTTTTCGTTGATTGAATTTGGTTAGTTTTTGTTTAAAATTCTCGCTAAATGGCTAAAATTTAAATGCGTCTTGTAATAGCATTAACAATGGGTGGGTGTGGATGTGAGTGTTAGTATGGTTCTACTCTTCACACCCAGACCCACATCCATACTCACTTATATCTGGCAATTTCCTTTACTGCACCCATTATTAAAGAAAAACCAGTGCACGTTTGGAGAAATATGTCATATCAGGGTAAAAATATTCTTTATTTGAGACCAAAGTGATGTTTTCCTAAAACTTTTTTCACGCATTTTTCCTTCATGTAAGAAAACGTGTTTGTCTCTATAATTTCAACGCCTAAAAAATACATTCCGAAGCATAAAAAGACTATTTTGTTGAATTACAAATCCACCACACATAATACCATGCTCAGACACTTTCCATCTGCCTATTAACAACCGTAACATTACGGTTTCAATAGAGTGTTATCCACACAATAGTATATTTCGTAGGAACTGATATCTGAAGTTCACTCCACCAAAATATGCACACGTTTTCGACTTTTGTTCTCCTTCTTTCTTTCTGTTTATTTCTTTGAGCATAGATCGCAAAGTGGGATGATATACGCGAGGATTTTTTTATCGATCTATTATGACCAAAATAAAATCAGTGAGAAACAGAAACAAACAAAGCAACATGGGCAATTTTCTGACAAACTGAATATCAAATATTAGTGCAAAAGATTTATGGTATTGTTTTATGAATACTA